TGACCCAGCCACAGCTTTCCCACCTTAACGTTGGGAAAAAGGAAAAGAAACAGAGGTACAAGCTCACAGGACAGATTTACTTTAGAACACACCTGAGAGGGACTGCTCTGGCACTAGGGACCAGATCTGCTACTCTGCTAGGAGCTGCAGGGTTCTTCCTAGAGCCGTGAGCATGGGGGCGGTGTTTTAGTGCAAATGGGTTGAGGTTGCCCGTTAGGGACAGGCTTGAGATCACACAGGGAGTTGTGGCTACTAGTCCAGCACAAGGCTGAGTAATGATGGGAGCTATGGATTGCAGCTATGACCACTGGGCCTTATCAACGCATGATGATACATTTCTAGCAGGCACACAAGCACAGCAAGGGAGGGGAGGTTTAATGTGATCTCTGCTCAGCCCGGACTGTGGTAGTCAGATTCCTTCATTAATGCAAGTTAAACTCTAGATAAATGACAGCTATTATTAGAATTATTATTATTACCCATAATGTCTTCTCCGCTTTGCGCAACTGGCCAATTCATATACATTTTAAACAGCTCTGACATTACCTCCACCAGAATGATTTCCTGATAATGTGATTTTTATTTCTTCCAGGTAGAATTAATAACTTCTTTTTCCACATTACCTTGAGATCTTATGTTATTTCAGTTCTTTTTGGAGTTTTGACACAGGGCCTTGCTCTGTAGTTTAGACTTGCCTTGAAATCACTCTGTAACTCAGGCTGGCCTTGAACTCATGACAATTCTCCTGCTTCAGTCTACCTAGTGCTGCAATTACAGGCATGCGCTGCTCAATTCTTGTATTTTTCACAATGCAATGCAAGCTCATGTTTCTAAGTCACCTTCTCCTTATTAATGCACATGTTCAGAGGCTGAAGCAGGAGGACCAGGAGTGTGAGGCCAGTCGGGGCTACATGTAGAGTTCAAGGTTACCTTGGGCTACATAGTAAGACCCTAACCACAAAAAACAACGAAAAAGTAAGGGCTGAATATTACCATTGCATCTGCAATGTTTTATTTTAGTGGAGGGACATAGGCGTTTTCAAATCCATGTAGGGGAGGTATCCTCTAACGAGATACTTTGAAATTCTGGATCCAGTGATAACATATTCACAGATACAATGGCAGACTCTTCAGTGTAGGTTTTGTTTATAATAATAGGTTTCAATGATGAGAGCTGGTCACCCTCCCTACACACAACCTTTCAATTTAGCATCTTCCGGGTGTTGTGCTCTACTGGTTCTTCTTAATTTCTCACTTTACACAATCTTCCTTCGGGGACCTCAGCCTCTGCCACGCCCACAACTACTATATAATCACTGCTGAGTCTGGCTTATGCTGAGTTCTTTGTCTCCTAAGAGTCATCTCCAAATTTCCAGAATGTATGCCATTGAACTCCCTCTGCATAAGGAATAAGAACTTTCCCCATGATATGCCAGGAATGAACTCATGTTTTTAACTGTTAAACATTTTCCAGCCTAAGGCTTACCATCTTGGTTCATGCTTCACTGCGTCTCACCTGAATTACTGCAGATTTTTAATTTTAGTTACTCTTTGTTAGTCCATGCATACAGCACAGAATGCTTACCTTCCTTGTGAGGAGGTACATGTACATGATACTTTCTTTTGTTCATTTACTGTCCCTCCCTTCTTTCTCCCTCTTTCCACTTCTTGATCCACTTTCCAATTATTTTTGTTTTGCTCTTCATTTATACTTTGGGTTTCTCATATAAGAGTGTGTCTGAGTTGTTTCATGCGACATTATAGTCTCAAGGTGCGTTTGTTTTCCTACAAGTTACTCAAATTTATCTTTATAAAAAAGTAGTACTCCACTGTGTACAAATACCACATTTTCTTTGTCCATTCACCCTTTGATGGACATGTGGGCTGCTAGTAAGATTTAGCTATTACGGATTTTGCTGCTATAAACATGTATATGCACATATCACTGTAAAATGACATCTTTTGTTTGTTCTTTGGAGTCAGCGTCTTGCTATGTAGTTCATGCTGGACTTGAACTCATTATGCATTCTAAAACTCAGCAGTCCTGCCTCAGCCTCCAGTGTGCTGGGATTACAGGTGTGTACTATCACGCTTGGCAATGTGTTTAACTCTTTCAGAAGATTGCCGGAAGAGGAATAACTGGGTCCAATAGAACTTCTAGTTTTAGTTTTTTGAGGACTTTCCACAGATTCCCACAGTGGTTGTACTGCTTTCCATTCCCACCAGCGTAGAGGAGCTTCTTTTCCCCTAAAGTCTCACCAGCATTCGCTATTGTTTAATTTCTTGATGGTAGCCATTCCTTTTGATGAGATCAGGCGCGTTCAGTGTGGTATGGCCATAGATGGTGGCCATGCTTTCTGGAGTAAGGTGGAATCTCAGTATTCTTTGGATTTGTCTTTCTCTAAGTGTCGAGTATTTCTTCACATATTTATTGGCCACTTGTACTTTCGCTTCGGTGTAGTATCTATTCATTTCACTTGCCCATTTTTTGACTGGGTCTTTTATTCTTTAGGTATTCTAGGTATTAGTCCTCTGAGGAATAGCTGACGTAATTTTTCCCATTCTATAGGTTTTCTTTCCACTCTGTTAGCTGTTTCTTTTGCTGTGCAGAAGCTTTTCAATTCAATATGATCCCGCGTTGATTCTCAGTACTATTCCCCTCACCACTGGCGTTCTTTTCACAAAGTCCTTGCCCATGCCTTTATCTCAAGAGTTTCACTTGTTTTATCTTTTAGCAGGTTAAGTGTTACTGCTGTAACATTTAGCTCTCTGAACCACTTTAATTTCAGTTCAGTAAACGGTGAGAGATAGGGGTCTAGATTCAGACAGCCAGCAGAGGAGGAAAGAGGAGATAGGGATAAGAATATCCACATCTAGATGGAGAGAGAAGGGACAGAAAAAGAATTGAGATGTGCTAAGTACGTATACCAACTCCCCATGAGCAACACAACAATTATACACTGCAAAAATGCACTAATAAAAACTACATCTTTCTGGCTCATGCCTCCTTCACCCCAGGCCCCACCTCTGAATAGCAGATTTAGTCATGGACTCCTCCATGCATCAGTCCATTAAGAGCATAGCGCTCTCCTGGTCTACTTGCCTTCCAAAAGCAATGTCCTGAACTTTGGGGGACATTTTCGATCTCTACTATAAAGTATTAAATGTGCTGTATATCCATGTCTATGTGTATGTGTTATAGTATATGTGTGTTCAGTCTCTACTGTTTTTGCAGAAAGGTCCTTGGAGACGCTGATTAGATAATATTTGAAGTGGACACCCACTTCCACTCCTCCAACGCTCACACATCAAAAAATGGAAAAATATCGAATGTGAAAATCTAAATTCAGCGGAGGATGAAGAGAGGTGGATGAAGAGAGGTGGACAGAGTGTCCACCTCCCTCCGCTCCCAGGTCTGGGTACAAACTTTGGACTTTGCACATGGGTTATGGTCTATATCTGGACGTCCCCCCTAAAGCCTCAGGAGCTCATGGGTGGGGTGTTCGGGAAGTGACTGGATCGTGGGGCTGATACGCATCAGTGGATCAGTCCACTAATGAGTTTACAGCTAAATGTGACCTTGGCCGGTGAAAACCTGATGGGTGGAAGTGGGTCACTGGGGCCATGGTGACCCACTCTTCTCCCTTCTTCTCTCTCTTCTCCCTTTTTCTCTGCTTCCCTATGCAATGCCCTGAGCTGCTTCTCCTCTGCCATGCTGCCCTGGCTTGGAGTCAGCTGACTGTGGGCTGAAACCTCTACAAACTGAGCCAAAATAAACCTCTCCTCCTCTTAGTTGTGGGTGTTGAGTATTGTGTCTCAGCAATAAGAAAGCAACTAGGACAACATATTAGGCCAAGCTCTCTACCACTGAGTTCCACAGTAGCCCTGTTTGTTTTTGTGGGAATGGGGAACTAGGGGTAGCAATAAAAGTTCAAGGAAGAAGAGATTTGATGGAAGCAATTGTCAAAGGCCTTTATTAGTATTATTACTATTAGTTGTTTTTAAAACGGTTTCACTCTGTAGCTCAGGCTGGCCTTGAACTCACGATGATCCTCCTGCCTCAGCCTTCCGAATGGTGGGATTACAGATGTGCACCATGACGCCCTGATAGTCAAAGACCTTTACAGGGTTTTTGCAGTTTGTCCCCCACACATCTCAGCCTCAGTGCCTGGCAGCTTGTTACTTTGTCAAAGTTGTAGTTGCTCCATTTACCTTTCCGTACAAGTGGGCACAGAGCTGAGGCTGGCCAGCGACCCTCCACTTACTCTTATTTGACAGCACGCTTTACACATTATCCCTGACACACACACTGTAACGCTTGACACACTTCATCTCTGATCACCTGCCCCAAATTCAGTCATCTGAGAACTATTTGAGGGACCTCCCTTCTGTCTGAACAGCCTATCGTTTTTCCAGGGTCAGCCTTTTAATTCTAGGATGACTTTTCTGACACTGTAATGATAAAATTCGCCCCTCCCTTTTGTGCAGCCCAGGGCCCCCATCTGCTTTATTCCTGACATAAATATTACACTCAGTCGTATGTCTGTATGTCTGTCTTTCCCTTCAGTAGTGCTGTTTGTAGGCAGGAGCTTCATTTTGCGAATCCACTATCTCTCCGTGTGGCACGAGGAAGACGCTCAGTACATGTTTATTGAATTAAGGACCTGGGATCCCGTTGACGTCATTTCCGGTATGCCATGGCGTCACTCCGCGGGAGCCACGTGGGTTGAAGGGGTTAAATCGGTGTTTACAATGTGCACCGAACATTTCAAAAGCAAGCCAAGATTTCAGAATGCCCATAAAAAGCGCGGACACGGGGACCTCTGGATCCCGGTCCTGGGGCTCGGAGACATCATCTAAGGCAGAAAACACCCCGCCTCCTCAGCGGAAGGCAGCGCTGGCGCCCGGAGGCAACCGGAAAAGGGCGGTCGAGCGGGAGGGAGCGAAAGCAATTCACTTCTCGCGATGCTTTCTTCTCGCTCGGCCGTACGGGGGCTCTCGCGAGAGGGACAGAGGCAAGATGGCCGTGCCCTGGTTTTCGGTGTGAGACGGTGGATGCGACTGCGGGGGCTGACGGGCACAGCGGCGGCAGCGGGACAGCGTCGGCGACGCCCGCAGCCCGGCGTCGCGAGCGCCGGAGGCCCAGCTCCTCGGGAGAGCGC